CCTAGTGGTTAAAGCGTTTGCTCGTCACGCAGAAGACCCGGGTTCGATTCCCGACATGGGTACAATGTGTGAAGCCAAGTTCTGGTGTCCCCCGCGGTGATATTGCTGGAATATTGCTAAAAGCCGTGTAAAACTAAACTCACTCACTCACTCTTATGCATTTCTTTCGAATATTCGTAGATAGAACGTTGTACTTGTAAAAGCCATCAAAGGAAAGTCACCCCTCATATCACACAATCCCGTGGGTATATTTTTGTCACTCTGAAACCTGCATAGATCTAAATATAAAACCCATGTTGCGGTTTCACTTCTCTTCTAGCGTAGTTGGAAGAGTGAGTGAGTGAGTATGGTTTTACGCCGCTTTTAGCAATATTCCAGCAATATCACGGCGGGGGACACCAGAAATGGGCTTCAATATCCTCCTTTTCAAACGTAGATTACTCAGGAACTTCAGATAGTATCTATGGTAACCACGTTTTGTGGTAACTACCCCACAGATGAGAGCGAAGATTCTATTCAAGTTTATCGCGTGGGATAGTTGTGTACAACTTTGAAAAATAATGATTCGGCTCAATTGAATTTGGTTCTTTTCTGAGATTGCAAAAAACTCAAGAAAAAAACTTTGAGTTGTTGAAAACATCCATGTCACTGACACTTGTTTTTAAATACATTGACACTGGGATTTCATGGTATATTTGACCACCTGGTGGTCTAGTGGTAGAGCGTCCGCCCAGAGAGCGGAAGGCCCGGGGTTTGATTCCCGGCCGCGTCATACCAAAAGACGTTAAAAGATGGTACTTGTCTGGCGCTCGGCATTAAGGGGCTAAAACAAGGACCGGTTGGCTTGGAGTCAGTATACTGTGTCTGAGTGGGGTATTCGTGTCAAAGTTCGGCATGGTATCTCAGTGAGCTGGCGCTATAGAATCGGCATTGGTCCGTACTAGTACAAGCAGGTACACACACACACACACACACACACGTACATGCACGTCACTATATAAGTGCAATAATCTTGGACGGCAACCCCATTACACTACACCTAATAGTACATCGTGGTCCCTGCAATAACTCTCTCTGTATACGGATAAAGGCGTACAATATCTTCTGTGACGTCATGAAAAAAAGGGTGCCACCCCACTTCAGTTGATCGTTATTGGAACCAACCATTTATAAATACCCTTTCAAAGAATGAGGAACCGAAAAATTATATTTATTATATACATATGAATGAAATACTGGAATTTATCAGTGACGATAAATCAAGTTATCAGTCACTAGTGACTGATATAAAAAAGTTATATCAGTCACTAGTGACTGATATAAACAAGGTGTCGGAACTACTTTCTCCAGAATCAAAACATTAAAGAGTTATCCATTTTAAACAGGTGTCATTTCGGGATCACCAGTTGTCATTTCGCGATCACCAGGTGTCATTTCGCAAACACCAGGTGTCATTTCGGGATCACCAGGTGTCATTTCGCAAACACCAGGTGTCATTTCGGGATCACGAGGTGTCATTTCGGGATCACCAGGTGTCATTTCGCGATCACCAGGTGTCATTTGCGCGATCACCAGGTGTCATTTCGTGAACATCGGGTGTCCTTTCGCAAACACCAGGTGTCATTTCGTGAACATTGGGTGTCATTTCGCGATCACCAGGTGTCATTTCGCGATCACCGGGTGTCATTCACTAACACCAGGTGTCATTTCGCAAACACCGGGTGTCATTTCGCGATCACCAGGTGTCATTTCGCAAACACCGGGTGTCATTCACTAACATCAGGTGTCATTTCGCGATCACCAGGTGTCATTTCGCAAACACCGGGTGTCATTTCGCGATCACAAGGTGTCATTTCGCGATCACCAGGTGTCATTCACTAACACCAGGTGTCATTTCGCGATCACCAGGTGTCATTTCGCAAACACCAGGTGTCATTTCCCGATCACCAGGTGTCATTTGCAATGATCCAGTCATATGTTGACTATGTTGACTTTAACGCCAGTTTGAATCTGTTTTGTCGGATGACCGAGTATGGTTATTCTCTGGTATTGTCGTTTGATGTGCACAGGGGAATTGTCAGACATGATATATTATACTTGGCGTGGGAGAAGCTACGGCTCAAACTCTTGACGTTCTCTCCGAGCGGCACGTCCAGATCTGTATAACACCAGCTTGAATACCAGGCTGTCGTAGATCATACATCCTACATGTTTGTATGTGGAAAACAATGTGTTTGTGCTACAAAAGCAGAAGTAGTATTTGAAAGCACCAGGCAAACAGACTGTCAAGTGTATCTATATGCAGGTCGCAAAAGGGGTGGTGGGGTAGCCTTGTGGTTAAAGGGTTCGCTCGTCGCGCCGAAGACCCGGGTTCGATTCCCAACATGGGTAAAATGTGTGAAGCCCATTTCTGGTGTCCCCTGCAGTGATATCGCTGGAATATTGCTAAAGGCGGCGTGAAACCATACTCACTCACTCACTCATATTCAGACAAGCAAGATGTATGGTGAAATATGGCCTAATGCTATTACAAATTTAATCTCCTTTAATATTTTCCTCTGCCCAAGTATCAGATAGAAGGTTATGTTTAAAAATAAAAATATATTCACTAAATGCAGTGTGCGAGACGCCTAAGTGAGGTGAGGTGAGGTGAAATTAGGTTTAACGTCGCGTCCAAGATTATTGCACTCATATAGCGACCTGCATGCACGTGTATATGTGTTTGTGGCTGCTTGTACTAGTCCGGACTGATGCCGATTTGTAGTGCTAGCTCACTGAGATAACATGCCGCAGTTTAACATGAATACTCAACTCAGACACAGTATACTGACTCCGAGCTGACCAGTCCTTGTTTTAGCCCTTTAATGCCGAGCGCTAGACAGGGTAACAACAAGTACAATCTTGTAACGTTTTTTGTGTATGACGCGGCCGGGGATCGATCCACGGACCTTCTGCTCTCCGGGCGGACGCTCCACCACTAGACCACGGAGGCGGTCCGACGCCTAAGTGACGTAAATGTGTGTCACTGTGCAAACAGTGTAACATTTATTATCGCTGTGCAATCAAATGCACCCATATTGAAAGTCATCCCGAAATGTCAAGTCGTCTTAAACTGCACCTGTAGTCTTTCGTTATCTGACTTCGCGCATATCAGGATAACGTTCTAGATAAATCACACACTTTGCGTGCATATCAGTCTTGGATTGTATGTGATGTGAGTTCAGGGTGAGATGTAAGGTTGGTGGGGTGTTGAGGGTGGATATGTGCTGTGTGTGATGTGTGTTTAGGGTGAGATGTAAGGTTGGTGGGGTGTTGAGGGTGGATATGTGCTGTGTGTGATGTGTGTTTAGGGTGAGATGTAAGGTTGGTTTGGGTGTTGAGGGAGGATTTGTGCTGTGTGTGATGTGTGTTTAGTGTAAGATGCAAGGTTGTTGGGGTGTTGAGGGGGGATTTGTGCTGTGTCTGATGTGTGTTTAGGGTGAGATGCAAGGGTGGTGGGGTGTTGAGGGGGGATTTGTGCTGTGTCTGATGTGTGTTTAGGGTGAGATGTAAGGGTGGTGGGGTGTTTGGGGTGTATTTGTGCTGTGTGTGATGTGTGTTTAGTGTGAGATGCAAGGTTGTTGGGGTGTTGAGGGTGGATTTGTGCTGTGTGTGATGTGTGATATGTAAGGGTGGTGGGATGTCTTGGTGGATATGTGCTTTGTGTGTGTGCGTGCTTGTGTGCGTGCGTGCGTTCGTGCGTGAGTGTGTGCGTGCGTGCGTGATGTGTGTGTGTGTGTGTGTGGTGTATGTGGGGGAACAGCAGGTCTGTGTGGGTAATTTTCCCGTTAGGGAAATGTCCGTATGGGGAAATGTCCATGTGGGGAAATGTCCATGTGGGGAAATGTCAATGTGGGGAAATGTCCATGTGGGGAAATGTCGATGTGGGGAAATGTCCCGTTAGGGAAATGTCCATGTGGGGAAGTGTCCCGTCAGGGAAATGTCCATGTGGGGAAATGTCCATGTGGGGAAGTGTCCATGTGGGGAAGTGTCCATGTGGAGAAATGTCCATGTGGGGAAATGTCCATGCGGGGAAATGTCCCGTTAGGGGAAATGTCCCGTTAGGGAAATGTCCATGTGGGGAAATGTCCATACGGGGAAATGTCCATGTGGGGAAGTGTCCATGTTGGAAATGTCCATGTGGGGAAATGTCCATGTGGGGAAATGTCCATGTGGGGAAGTGTCCATGTGGGGAAATGTCCATGTGTGGAAATGTCCCGTTAGGGAAATGTCCATGTGGGGAAATGTCCATGTGGGGAAGTGTCCATGCGCGGAAATGTCCCGTTAGGGAAATGTCCATGTGGGGAAGTGTCCATGCAGGGAAATGTCCATGTGGGGAAATGTCGATGTGGGGAAATGTCCCGTTAGGAAATGTCCATGTGGGGAAGTGTCCATGCAGGGAAATGTCCATGCGGGGAAATGTCGATGTGGGGAAATGTCCCGTTAGGAAATGTCCATGTGGGGAAGTGTCCCGTTAGGGAAATGTCCATGTGGGGAAATGTCCATGTGGGGAAATGTCCTACAATGGAGGGTGTGAGAAGCCACAATCATCGGTTTCTGGCGCTTCTCTGCCCAGCGAATCACGGCGCCTTAGACGACCGGGCCACCCGTGTCCCCGTGTGTGGGAAGACTAACATATTGTGCTCTATACAATGTAACACAACTCTAGTTAAAGGTGACAAAAAATGTGAACCTTATTCTACAGTTACAAATACCCACGCCCAACGTGTTACTGTAACGTGTGGTCAGCAATCATTCGTTTAACCGACGGAGCATCAGAAGCAACAGGTAAAACAATGCAATGACAAGGAAATCAATGGATCATTATGATGCGGATTAAGACTGTTGCTGTGTTGTAAACGATGATGTAGGCATCCACGATTGCTGCATTATACGTCAATGAGCAACACAATTAGATTGATTAAGATAACAAAAAACAAAAAAACAAAAAAAACATTTACCTGATGAAGCCGTCAGTAATCCAAGCAGGCACAACGCCAGGACCTCGTCGGTTGGGGCCATCTTGTCGTTTACACGGCGCAGTACAAGCAGGAAGTAAGGCACAAAGCCTATCACATGATATTGAATACTGTAAGGGACATTCTCGCGATCTCGACCTTTCGAAACGAGATTTATATGCCCAAGGTGCAAGAATGCGATCTCACGAGATTGCGATATCGCGATATTTTGCCACAATCTCGCGTTCTCGTGTTTTTGGTACAGAGTACTTTTTGTCAAAAATCGACAACGCTAGTGCAACATTTAGACATGCGGTACAATTTGAAGGTTCTGTTTTTCCGTTATGCGTTTTTGACCCCGCCATCTAAGGTGCCGCCATATGTTAAGCAGGGTTGCGTCCCTTTTGCTTACCCGAATCCTATGATCCGTGTTCAAATCCCGAATTCTCTCTGAATAAAATTATTGTTTATGATCATCATACTTCTGCGTGTTTATTTCTTTATTTCTGTGTTGTTTATCGCCGTACTCAGAATATTCCAGCTATATGACGGCGGTCTGTAAATAATCGAGTCTGGACAGAACCATCCAGTGATTGAAATAATGAGCATCCACGCATTTGGGACGCAATGACATGCATCAACCAAATCAGCGAGCCTGACCACCGGATCCCGTAAGTCGCCTCTTACTACAAGCATAGTCGCCTTTTACGGCAAGCATGGGTCGCTGAAGACCTTTTCCACCCCGGATCTTCACGGGTTTTCTCTGCTTGTGGTTTTCATTAAAGTGTTGAACATCTTTTACTTCCATTGATTCTGGCCACGCCATGCTACCATAAGCGTCGTTTAGCCCAACTCACCGTCAAGGTTTGGAATTTAATATATACTTCATTGTGAAAGTATTCGGAAATTGAGAAAAGTGATATTTTCATTTCAGTGAACATAACACTTTGACGGAACTTTTTGTCATACACGAGTTACCTCCCGGCAAATTCTCTCCCTTTATCGTTCGTGCCTGGGGCGTACACAAACTCTTGACTTCCTCTTTACGGGCGGTCGGGTAGCCCAGTGGTTACGCGTTCGCTCGTCACGCCGAGGACCCGGGTTCGATTCCCGACATGGATAAAATGTGTGAAGCCCATTTCTGATGTCCCCAGCCGTGATATTGCTGGAATATTACTAAAAGCGGCTTTTCCCGTGGCAAGGTGATTTTTTGCAGACTTAGTTCTGTTGTATCCCAACAATGAATTCGCTTCTAAGTCCTTTTTAACATGGAACGACCATTTCCAAACCATGATTATCATTGGCTCTTTGTTTTCCTCAAATACACGAGAAGAATGATTCCTCGATTGTAATCACTGTATTCTTAAATTGTTTGATAGGCATTACTTAGAAGCTGACGGATGACAAGGTAGACACAATTTTATCGATAACAACTTCTTTAATTCTGTAAAAAGCGACGTTTTGGTATAGATCCTTATACCGTTGTCCAGCAAGACTGAATGAGGGACTTAGTACAGAATATATATAGTAGGTGGAGGGTTAACAGTAGAGGATCAATAGGCACTACTTAGAAGTTGACGGATGACAAGGTAGACACAATGTTATGGATAACAACTTCTTTAATACTGTAAAAAGCGAGGTTTCGGTATAGACCCTATACTGTATTGTTCTTTGAAATTTTTGACAAAGGCTTCTGATCAGGAAGCCGTGATCATCCTGAAGCTCCTGCCTCTCAATTCAACTCCAGTCATGCACACAAAGATTCGTTTCCGATTTGCATGCATGCTTTGTATCAATGACGTTGAGACAACAGACACCTGACTTGCATCAATGACAAAATTCGACATAAAGCCATGCTCCCCTTTCCACAAAGTACTAGCAGAACAATCACGTGGTAAGTGTGGTAGTTCCTCAAACAGCCACAATGCGCCAAGACGCATTGCGAATGTGGTCATTACTGTGGCGTTTTCAGTATTTCACTGTAATTGGTGACGATGGGGTTTTCCCCACATGGACGTTTCCCCAGATGGACATTTCCCCACATGAACATTTCCCCACACGGACACTTCCCCACATGGACATTTCCCCGCATGGACATTTCCCCACATGGACATTTCCCCACATGGACATTTCCCCGCATGGACATTTCCCCGCATGTACACTTCCCCACATGGACATTTCCCCGCATGGACATTTCCCTGCATGGACATTTCCCCACATGGACATTTCCCCGCATGGACATTTCCCCGCATGTACACTTCCCCACATGGACATTTCCCCACATGGACATTTCCCCACATGGGCATTTCCCCACATGGACATTTCCCCACATGGACATTTCCCCACACGGACATTTCCCCACATGGATATTTCCCCACATGGACATTTCCCAACACGGACATTTCCCCACACGGACATTTCCCCACATGGAGATTTCCCCACATGGACATTTCCCCACACGGACATTTCCCCACACGGACATTTCCCCACACGGACATTTCCCCACATGGAAACTTCCCCACATGAACATTTCCCAGCAGGGACATTTCCCCGCATGGACACTTCCCCACATGGACATTTTCCCGCATGGACACTTAACCCCCAAATCCTTCATATTCACACAAGGGGCGATCGGGTAGCCTAGTTGTTAAAGCGTTCGATCGTCACGCCGAAGACCCGGGTTCGATTCCCGACATGGGTGCAATGTGTGAAGCCCGTTTCTGGTGTCCCCCGCCGTGATATTGCTGGAATATCGCTAAAAGCGGCGTAAAACCATACTCACTCACTCACTCATATTCACACAAACAAGATGCATGTTGAAATATGGCCTAATGCTATTACACATTTAATTTCCTTTAATATTTTCCTCTGCCCAAGAATCAGATAGAAGATTAAGTTTACATTCCCTGTCAGAAATGACAAATAATGTCCGTGTTTCATTGATAGAGAACGCAAGGAAGTACAGGCAGGTCAATAACTATGGCGTCATCAATAAGGATGTGTGAACAGTTCAACGCAAATAGTGTCACAGCTTCTCGATGTTAACCCCAACATATATGATTATATTTGAAAGCAAGGTTATTGGCCCTTCCGATTGGGTAGTCCAAGATTATATCACTGAATATTCGAATCCAGTTCTCTTGTTTGTGGTATTCATAATAGTGATGGCGACTGTGCTTGTCGTAAGAGGCGACTAACGGGATCGGGTGGTCAGGCTCGCTGACTTGGTTTGATGCAAGTCATCGTATCCCAATTGCGTAGATCGATGCTCATGGTGTCAAGTACTGAATTGTCTGGTCCAGACTCGATTATTTACAGACTGCTGTCATGTAGCTGGAATATGTGTTGAATGCGGCTTTTTGTTGGTTGTGGGTGTTTTTCAGTCCATGTTATAAACAGTTGTTAATAATAATGCTATGATAAAATTTGCTTGACAAGTTTATTTTAATTTTAAGTTTAAGTTTAATTCACTCACTCAACTGCCATCGCCTGTTTTTTTCAGTTCACATAAAATAATCGTGTCTATCCTATGTTTTTTATCTCCGACCTTTCGTCATCTATTAAGTTGTAAACCAGCCTTTTTCTAAAAAAATATTCAGCATGTTTATTTGATTAAAGCATTTGAGGACCAATCTTTACACATCTGTCTATGTACATAGAGTTGCGGCCCTTGTACACGCCAGAAACCTATGATTGTGAGTTCGAATCCCGGTTCGACTCGACTATGTTTCTAGGTTTGACAGCACCACACCTGTGCTCTTGGGTTTCATTGAAATGGTAAAGCCGCATCTCTTCGGGCTTTCCTCCCACATTAATCTGACACGCCGTGCTACTGGAATACTGTTAAAAGTGGCGTTAAACCAAACTCAGTCAGAATAGCTGCGCCTAAGACGACCCGTTTAAAATCTGATTTTGAAAAAAGGGATATGAATGATATATACGCTTTGATAATGTGAATCCCTTGCGATTGCAATATATGCTTGACGTTGAATCTTTCATTCATTTTCATCTTTCATTACAAGGGATACACTCAGGAGGTTCGTCCTAATCTGTCTTAAGCAGATATTCGTGGGTAAACCTTCTGTGGCCAATACGACATCTTTGAAAAACGACCTCGTCATGTCTTGACTGACAACCCAATTAATTCGTGAAGTTTATTGCTTGGGTGTCCAACCTCTTTTGCATGAGATTCCGAGTATAACTTCTATAGTTGGTTTGAAGTCACTATATGGGATCAGTAGTGGAGATCGTCTGTATGAACATGTCCTACAAGCTATGGACATATACAAGAATGTCCTTCAATGTATATATGAACATGTGCTACAAGCTATGGACAGATACAACAAGGTCCTTCAGTGTCTATATGAACATGTCCTACAAGCTATGGACAGACACAACTGTCACAAATCAAAAGTAGAACTAAGGATATACAGCACACATTACAAACGAAAAAGAAAAATACTTTAGGTTGATTACATTTATTACAGTCAACAGTATTCACATCCGGTTAAGTCAGCATAGTTCACAACATCAGGTTAAGTCAGCATAGTTCACAACATCAGGTGTCCTGTTCAAAGGTCGGTGATGGATGTACCAATTTAGGGATCGCAAGTAGGAGCAATCACAATAAGGCCTGAAAACATGACAAACTACTAGGTGACAACTATCATGTATTTTCAATACGAGAAGTTAAGAACATTGACAATAACATGTATAACAAGCTATATTTCCATGATGGGCAATCCTTTTGGCAAAGCAATCTTTATTTATAATTAAACACGAAGTAACTATTCCACACATTTATCCTTGAAATAACACAATATTTTACTCACAAAAGCCTTTCTCCTGGCCAGGTCTCACGCCAGTGAACGATCAACTGTATCTTAACACTGCTAAGACATGGCTTTATATAATCAAGTCAGAGACAAAACGCATGTTTTCACATGTCAAAATGGTGTGTTTGGGCGCCCTGTTCCAGTATTAAGGATGACATCTACCCTACCAAAATACATCCCAAAAGTAATGATAAAATAGCACACGATGTGACAACAACAAGGGCACTTTAATGTCTATATGAACATGTCCTACAAGCTATGGACAGACACAACAAGGGTCTTCAATGTCTATATAAACATGTTCTACAAGCTATGGACAGACACAACAAGGGTCTTCAATGT